ACAAGGAAGAGAGACAGAATCTCACCCTGCATTGGCTACCGGTCAAGTGTAGGATGAGTTTATTATGTGTTGATTCTGGTGGGCCCTGAGGACAAAAGCAGTTTCCCCACCACCTTGTTTCGTCTGATGACTGAATCCGACACAGTGGCAAGCATTAACAATAACTATATAGAAAAAGCCAATCTTCTCACTGATGGTCTTGTTTGTTTCTATAGGTCATATACAGTATTAAATTGAGACTGTTTCACACAACTTAAAAACTCCTTGCAGTACATCCAAGATATAAACTTCAAAAAACACACAGTGAAGACCTGAACACAAGCTATATTCGCTGAGCCTTCACATTAGAAAAGGACGCAGTTAAAACAACCAAAAAGCTAATAGAACAATGAGAATAAAACACAGAAATTAAAAGAAACAAAGGAAACCTATTAAGTATGAATGATTGTTAAAAGCTTTACAAATATATAATACGGAGAATTGCATAAAAAGTTCCTAAAGATATCAGGGAAACTCTTCTCTGATGCAATATTCACAGGAAATAATCAGCTCAAAATGAATCCAAATGGCTCAATTTACACAAACGTCCTGCTATTATTGTGTTCACTATTTGGGTTAAATGTACAGTTTATCAGTTGTTCTGTACAATACTTATCAGTTATCAGTTATCAGTTGTTCTGTACAATACTGTTATTGCATAAATAGAATATGGTATGTCACTTAGATGGCATCAAGAAGTTCCCAACCTTTTTCCTTAAGGTGACCATTTTCTATCATTAAGTGAACTGACTATCCAATTTAGTCAAAAAAACCAACAAAAACAAGAACAGAAATCTATTAGTACTCTACATTTGTTTGTGTGTTTTTTTTTATAAAATAAAAATCAATTGACAAAAGACTACAAATGGTAAGAACTTTTAAAGGATTTTGCCTTGGTACCATACAGCAGTGTTTCCTTATTAGGCTCTGATATGATGCTGAAGTAATTTTCTCAGGGACATTCATGGTGAGCTGAAGTTGCGGTTATACATGTAATACGGGCAGAGGCACAAAGAGATGTACTGTATACCCCTTCCTTTGCAGGTGCTGGTGATGTGTGTGTGTGACCATGGGTGCATGCAATCCACAAGCTGCCCCAGACAAAAGGGAGCTAATCATTCCAGATTGTACTGGTTGCTTTTCGGAAGGAGGATTTCAGTTTGCTTTAGCCATTGGCCGTGGACACAACAGGGTACCTTTCTTTCTAAGCCCTCTCCCCTCTCTCTGCAACTCCTAAGTCACGCTCATCTGCTTTCATGCCCAGGCACTGCAACCAGAATGCTTTACAAATTGAGCCTGTAATCTCGTCAGACATGATGGCTAACATGGTGGGAGAGATGCGAGGTCAAGGGGTGGGGAGTGGTGGGCACCACAGGAGGACTATGTGAGGCCTCCAGTGTAAATACAACTCTAAGCACTTAATCATACTTTCTAGCCTTTCTTGGGTTCATCTAACTCAATTGTTAGTTGATAACTGGTATGAAAGGTATATAAGACATTGCACTTCCCAATAAAATTATTGTTTTATTATATTAATGTAATTCAGTGTTTCATGCAAACAGTCCTCCTTTCTCACAGCAGACATTTTGACATAAAATAGTAGGGTAAAGGTGTTACCAATGATACTAATTAAGGTTATGTTCCATTTAGTGTAGAGAGCCTCTCCAGTGAGCCTACTTGCATAACAGCAGCATCCTGACTCTGTTTGACCTGAATTGAACAGAACCTTAATTAGTATCATTGGCTGGTTAGATTTCGGTTTTCCATCTAATTTAAAATCACTCTGAATAAAGATTTTGGGTCAACCATTGACATCGAATGTGAGCATTACAGTCTGGTGTTTACATATGACGCACCAACCTATTCAGCAATAGCTCTGTGGCACGTGTTTAATCAGCATAATATTATAATTTGTCAAAATCTTATCCCATGTTCTTTAATCGTTTAATTTTTTGAAATAGGTTGTTATTTCTTATTTTTCTGCCATCTATACGTCCAATAATGTTCAGTTCTTTAAGAGTTTGTATCAAAAACAAACTCTCCACAGCTTGGATGCTGCCAATTCCAACGTCCCTATGCTCAAGATGGAGGACATGCGCAAAAAGAACGCAGCCAGAACGTTATCAGGTGTAATTGTTTAAACCTTTTCATAAACCGATCAAAAGAAAAATTGTAACACGTAAACTCCCCCTCTGCAGCCGATTAAAATTTCAATCAGTTTGAGCCTGTTTATTCTGATTTTTATTGTGTTTGGGCTTTTAAACTGATTACAATCGGAATGTTGGGCTCTATGTAAACATAGCTATTGGTCAACCCTGTGTTTAATATTCATTTCACAATAGCGCCTGATGGGTCTGAAAAAGCAAGTCCGAACTTCAGCCACACAGGCAACGAATTGAAAACAACATGGAGTTAAAGCTTCCAACCAGTCTTGGGAAATATCTGCGAGTGAATGATGATCACAAGAAATCATTAACAAAGGGTTAGACCAGGAGCCAACAGCCGTAAAGTTCCTCCACCCAAGTCAAACTCAAAGCATTTTGTAAAGGACCAGTTTTGAACGTGAACTAGTTTTTGGGACTGTGAAATTAGTTAAACTATAGGAACTATGAAGGTAAACCAGTTCATTTTAACCTGCGGTAACTAAACTTTGAGCTAGCTCTTTTTAAATATGAACCTGCACAACACTGAATACACATATAATCCATCTGTCTTTGTTCATGTTTGAATTTTCTGTTTGCCTGCAACTGGCATTCTAATGAAGGAATGAGGTGAAATCGGTATTGGTTCCATGTCGGTTTCCTTTGGTAGTTGTTACACCACGATCAATCCAATGTTTTCCCAAAAACTCAATAAAAAGGCAAGCAATAATTTAACTGTATACAAGTAATGTAAACTTCACAAAATTTTAAACACATCTCAAAATCCCCCCGCAAACACCCTGAAAAAATATCAGTATTTTTAAGTTTGTTTACTGGGGATAGTTCCACCAGTGAGACTTAACAAGTACAGCATGAAGCATTTCTGTCACAGGTGCTTGCATTTAAAGATCTCCTCCAGTCATATATTAAGACATATATACAATAAACTGCTTGAAACAATAAAACTCATCTACCCCTACCTCATTGTAAATTCCAGAATCTCTGAATATGCAAATGTTGTTCATGTAAGTGTTCCTGCTGGACACAAGATGTCTCCTACT